ATCACCAAAACACAATTTTGTCATGAATCCATCTGTGTCCTTTGTTTAATATGCACATAGACCAAGGTGAGCGACACAGGCTCTTTAGAGCCTCTAGTTAAGCTCCTCGAAAAAATATTTCTGGGCCATATTGGCTTTGCTTTGTCTGTCTTTTTTAGTCTGTCCCTCTGTGGTTCTGAAACAAATGCTTTCAGATGAAATCATCAGTTTCACTTTCTTAATTGGAATAAAACTTATACCAGTTGAAGATATAGGTAAGGGGGAGAAGCCATTTAATTTTTGAGTTAATAGGTCTAAGTTTGGGATCACTGTCATTTTTATACGACCGCAAAAAAATTTTGAGGTCGTATATTGGTATGACGTTGGCGTCGTCGTCGTCGTCGTCGTTGTCGTCGTCGTCCAAATACACAATGGTTTTCGCACTCTAACTTTAGTTTAAGTGAATGGATCTCTATGAAATTTTACCATAAGGTTCAATACCACAATAGGAAGGTGGGGATTGATTTTGGGGGTTATGGTACCAACAGTTAAGGAATTAGGGGCCAAAAAGGGGCCGAAAATAAGCATTTTTGTAACTTCCAGACATAACTTGTGTGTTAGCATATGGATCTCTTTGACATTGTACCACAAGATTCCATATCACAAAGGGTCAATGCTGGGATTGATTTTGGGGTTAATTGCCTCAAAATTTTAGGAATAAGGGGCCAAAAGGGGGCAAAAAACACGCATTTTTCTAGTTTCATGACAATAACTTGTGTGTAAGTGTATGGATCTTTCTGAAATTTTACTACAAGGTTCCATTTCACAAAGGGAAAGCTGGAATTGAGTGTTGTGGTAATTGCCCAAAACGTTTAGTAATAAGGGGCCTAAAAAGGGGTTTAAAATAAGCATTTTTTAGTTTCTAGACAATAACTTGTGTTCAAGTGTATGGATCTCTCTAAAATTGTATTACAAGGTACCATACCACAAAGGCAAGGCTGTTATTGAGCTTGGTTTGGGGGGAAAGGGGGGTGGGGGTGATGAATCATAAGGGGGGCGGGGGTCAAAAAAGGGGTAATTTTTTTTTTTCCTTTTTTTTTTATTTAAAATTTACATTTTAAGTTAGTTATTTTTTATCACGAAGAGAAAGTAGGAATTGAGTTTTGGGGTTAATTGCTCAAACATTTATGAATAAGGGGCCAAATATTGGTCGAAAATAAGGATTGTTTTAGTTTGCAACAAAAACTTGTGTTCAAGTGTATGGATCTCTGTGAAATTGTATTGCAATGTACCATACCACAAATTGAAGGTTGTGATTGAGGTGGGGGATGATGAATCAAAAGGGGGTTGAAAAAATGTGTGGGGGGTAGGATTTTTTTTTTTTCCTTTTTTTTTTCTTTAAAATTTTCCATTTAAAGATGGTTGTTTCAGATTTATATATGAAAGAAAATAATAATGATACGGTTATATATCATGAGGAATTGAAATTTAAAATTATGTATATTGGAAATTTAGGTTACATTGGAAAGTAATAATTGGCTTTGAGGGGGGGGGGGGGGGGGTGGGGGTGGGGGGTGGTTATGGCTCTAATGTTTAAGGAATAAGGGGAAAAAAGGTTAAAAAACAAGGGTTTCCATTTTAATAGACAAATAATTGAGTAAAGAACATTATTTAAAAGCAGTGTAAGGTTGGTAATTCAAACTCATTTAAATATCTCATCTACACTGCTTTTAAATTATGTAAATTGGAAATTTGCCAATAACTTTATTGTTAATAAATGCATTGGAAATTTGCCAACAATTTTAGTGTAATAAACTTCATTGGAAATTTGCCAATATAAAATTTTGCTGATGAAGGTTTTTTGTTTACCTTTAGCCTTGACTATGAAGTCATTTTCTATTTTTATAGCCTTATGATGTAGTTGAATTATTTAATACTTTTATGATGTGTTTAAATGGGGTTTTATCATGTTTATGGTTGCAAATTTATTATTTTAGTATAATAAACTCCATTTAAAATTTGCCAATAAAAAAATTTTTGTTTATTTTTAGCTATGATTATGATGTCATTTTCTATTTTACTTTTATGGTTGCAAAGAAATTTTTATTTTTAGATATTACTGTTAAATAATGCTGATTAAGGTTTTTGCTATGTTTAGCCATGACTATGATGTCATTTTCTATTTTAATATCTGTTATGATGTATTTAAATGGGCTTTTATGGTTACAAAGGAATTTTATTTTTAGATATTACTATAAAATGTTGCTGATGCTGATTAAGGATTTTGTTTATTTTTAGCCATGAATATGATGTCATTTTCTATTTTAATACCTTTATGATGTAATTTCCACTTTTAGATATTACTGTTAAATGATGCTGATTAAGGGTTTTTTGCTATATTTAGCCATGACTATGATGTCATTTTCTATTTTAATATCTTTATGATGTATTTAAATGGGCTTTTATGGTTACAAAGGAATTTTATTTTTAGATATTACTTTAAATGTTGCTGATTAAGGATTTTTGTTTATTTTTAGCCATGACTATGATGTCACTTTCTATTTTAATACCTTTATGATGTATTTAAATGGGCTCCCATGTATTTAGATTTTTGATTATTTATACATGTTACCAAATTGGTCCACATTGAACAAAAACGGTCCAAATTTCAACTTTATTACATTACATCAAACATTGAATTCTACATATTCTTTGATATATTGAAATTAACAAACAATTTAGTTTATGGTATTCCACCATAATAGGTAAATTAAATTTTTTCCAGTTCTTACACCACATTCATCCTGTGTCAGAAACCTATGCTGTGTCAAATATTTAATGACAATCCAAAGTCATAGCTGTATCAAGCTTGAATTTTGTGTCCATACTTGCCCCAACTGTTCAGGGTTCGACCTCTGCGGTCGTATCAAGCTGCGCCCCAGCGAAGCATTTTATTTTAGGATAGGGGCAAAGCCTATTGAATTTGAAGTCAATAGGTCAAAGGTTAAGGTCTCAGTTACAAAAATAGACATAGACATATGGTATAAAATTTATGATATGTATTTATTTTTTACATACTGGTATATTTATATTGGGCATTAGCCTCCCAGAACTGTTGGTTAGCCAAGGTTAGGAGAATCCCTGGGCAATTTTTTTCCTCTGTGGTAGCTATGTTAACAATGTGGAAATTATTTAGTCTTAAGTTTGATTTTGAGAATTGTGATGCAGTTACATCTGAGAAAGTCTTTTTTCTTGTGTCTGTTTGTTTTATTTTTTATTTTACATGTTTTATATTATATTGAATAAAAGCACTCTGGGAAGAGGATGCACTTTCAAAATATCAGAAAAGCTTATATCTTTAATTACAAATATAAAGGTACTAATCTGTTAAACACTTATATGGGAAAACTCAATGTGCATTTTATAAGTGACTAAATCATGCTCTTCTCAAATATTTTTGAAGTTTGTAGATTTTAAATACTGTACGAGTATTGCAAGATTATACTTTACATTGTATATGGATGTAATGCCAAACCTTTTTTTGGAAGGTCTCATTTGTTGGGCCTTCTAAGGACATTGGTCATATAATATGATCTTTTATGTGTTCAGATTTAGATTTCTTAGACGTGCTTCTGTTATGTATAGTTATATATTATAGTTTTATAACATACTATTTGTAGAACATATACTTCTGTTATGTATAGTTATATATTATAGTTTTATAACATACTATTTGTAGAACATATAATTATTTCATAAAAATGTATATATATATATAGTTTTTATGGATTTATATATATTTATGGACTTATGGACAACTGCACACATGAAGTTCAAAGAATTAATTTTGTTTGTTCTGTCATATGTTAACTAGGCATGTATATTTAGATAAGGTTTTATCAAGATATCTTTTTTTTCATTTTAAGAAACTTATTAGTCTCTCGATGTAAAGTGATTAGAGGTAAAATTACCATATCTCATTATAACAAGGAATTATTTGAATCTGGAATAATCTTGAATTCTGGAAAATTGATAAAAATGTATGATGAATACTAACCCAATTTAGGAGGGTTAGCCATGCATGCATGGCTAAGGGGGGTTAATGAGTTCATACTGAAATATTAGTGAAAGTAACCTGAACCTTAGCCATGCGCCATGGCTAACCCTATTTAGTTGGGTTAGTTTGTATTATACAATTCTGATCAATTTTCAAAAATTCAAAATTATCCAAGATTCAAATAATTCCTTGGTTTATGTGTTTTAAGCTTTGTCATATTTATGCCCCTGCTTTGTAAGATCCATTCCACAACATTTTCCTGTGTACTCAATTCTTATATATGCTTGAACATAATGACCATGTATAAACATTTTCCTCACTTATTCCTCAGAAACTGTGATTCACTGAATGTGGATCAGAGCTTTCTGAAATTTGGTATCGGATTCATGTGAGAATGCTATTCCATGTGATGTATTTTCACATCCATTATTCATTAACTTCCTGTTTACAGAATATATCAATAATAAGCAAGAGCTCACAGTGCAACTTGTTTTCTCAGAGGTAGAAGTTGTGACTAGGGAAAAAATACAAAAGTCATGTGATGTTAGCTTTTAGCTCTGAAAATGTTGAATGTGCTTCATGATTTGAAAGTAAATAATAAAGCTAATTGCAACTTATTTTCATAAATAATTTAGGAATGAATATTATCAAAAATGGAATTAAAATTTTTAAGGTGTACTAAAAAAAAATTTAAATTGAGGGATATTATAAATAAAGTTTTCATCACTCTTAACTAAACATTAAAACTAGACAGATAAAACACCTTCTGTTCAATGATACTTGTTTGAATTCTCTAGGGGTTTTTGATAAACAAAAGTTGCTGAAGAATAAGAAATTAATTCAGTAGGGTTATTCTATTATTGATGCAGAATCATGGTCATTCCTGATATACCAGCATCTTGCTGAAGTCATGCATAGTGCTAAATATTTGATCCTTTATTGATGAAAAATCTGACTGCCCTTTTGAAAGTTTTTATCTAGGTTTTGTGGATGAAATATTTATTGATTCAGTTTAAAATTTTACTTTAGGCTAAATAAAGATCTTATCATTTGCATCTGGTCATTGTCAGCTTTGTTCATATTATTGGATATTCCTGTTGGGTTTATTGATAAAAAGATCTGTTGATAAATAGTTCAGACTTCAGGCCAAGTCTGCATTAAATATGTCATTGGACTTTAGGCCAAGTCTGCATTTAACAGGTCATTGATGTAAAATTCTGAAAGGATTGTTGAATGCAAATCAACTAATTTTTTAAAACATATAGATATTTTACTACAAAAATAATCAATTTACAAAAAATACATGTATATGGGAAATGATTTAACAGTGACAAATATCATAAACAAAGAATGCACCACTAAGGTAGAAACTTCACTAAGCAAATACTATGATAAGAACAACAACTGTTATAACTATCACAGCACCTAAGATAGCGGCACATATAAATTTCTTTTTTCTTGCTTTTGACTTGTACTCTTTGGCCTGCCTTAATACTTTATTTGTTTTTGTCACATGTACAACAGCGTCCTCTACATTTTTTTCGATATTATTTAACATGTCTCCTTGTTCACCAACTAAAACATTCATCTCCTTGAATAATTGATTAACTTCATGGATTTGATTTTCTAACTGATGGAGTTCTTTCTCCCTATCTTCCAACTCTTGTAGATCAGATTTGGCTGTTTGCATTTGAATTATGATATTATCGGTAAAAACTGAATGAGTTTGGAAGTCTACTTGGTTCATGTCAATATCGGGGTTATCCTCCTTGGAGACAATCTCCACCTTCCTCTGGAATCTTGTCCTAGTTTTGTCTATATAATCTGCCTGATTTGATCTGAAAGTATTCATAATCTCGCGAAGCTGATGAGACAATCTCTCAATTTGATTCACACATACTTTCTGATATGCGTCAGGTTCTGATATTTCATTATTGTTGTTAGATAAAGCTTCAATTTCTTTACGTATTTTCACAGATTTGGTTAAAATATGATCAGATAATTTTTCCATGTTTTTTAATTCGGTCTGTGTGACAAATGGAGAACAATAGAGATTATTTTGAAGTTTTGTGACTTCAGTTACATGGCTTTGTATCTCAATAAGGTCATTTTCTATACACTTCACTTTCTTCATTAAGATATCCATTGGTGTATTTTTCTTCTTGAATGAAAATCTCTTGCTGTTTCTCCCAAGTTCTTCACGTTTCTTTTGCATTTCCAAAGTCCTGTCTTTAACCACCATTTTGTATTGATTTCCTGATAGTCACAGACTCAGAATATTTATGGTAGATACTTGAAACTACCTGTAATAACCTAGTTATATCCAGACACTAATTCTCCTTATGAAAACTCAAATTTTTGTAACTTTCTTCACAAATTTTTAGTGTTAATGATTTTTACAATAACATGTAATCCAAATCTGTCATCCACTAATTAACTACATCAATACCTGTACTACCAAACAGGTAACTTTCTACTTAGTATCCTTTCTATCACGTATTATTATTCTATAATGTATCACCTCAGGAAAATGTTAAAGTATTCAGTGGTGTGAGAGAAGATTTATATATATATGATGTTTAAATTAAATTTTGTGATTCAGAATTATTTCCATTACTCATGATACCTGATTGTTTACAAATAATTGATTCATGGTGCTACAGTGAAAACAAAATGGGTTATCTCTTAAAAACTGGTATTTTTAAATATTTAGTCAACATTTGACCAGTCAGTATGATGACATTTAATTTGAAATCTTAGTTGTTTTTAAGTGTTTTAGGGGAATTCATTATTGAAATATTTCTGTTATTTACATATGACGTAAATTACACAAAATGTGACAGTACGAAATAAATTAGTTGTAAGATTCAGGATGTGGAAAGATAAATTATTTTATATATTGTATTGGATCCTATATTTAAAGATTACAATTACTGACTAAATGTAAATATCCTTTTATTATAAATAAATTAGAAGTTTTATGTAAAATTAACCTAAGCTGAATATATCAGAACAAACAGGTTTTACTGTACAGGTGTGTGTATTGATTTTCTCTGTTATTTTTACCTGAGAGGCCACCAATAAGGAACTTATTGATAAGCATTGCATGACATTTAGGATGCTTTCCTTGAAAATTTTTACTGTCTCTCCTTAATTTAGGGGTTTTTCTCTAAAAAATAATTAGGCAAATCCAAATTATTTTGAAAAATATTTAAGTGTTTTTAATAAGTCGACAGTTGGTTTGATTAAAATTTGTTGAATTAGTAATGAAATGTACAATAAGTAGTTTTAACCTGTTGGTTGCAGAGGTATTTCTACATATACTTCAGTTTCTTCATGAACAAAACTACAAATGAAAATATTGATAAGCCCGTACAAGCACACAATAAAATCGTAATCCATGTAAACCATGTTTTACTATGCAAATAAAGATAAAAAAGGGGGAGAAGATAAAAAGTAAGGCAATTAAAAACAATAAGTTAAAGAAAGACATACATTACCATGCCAAAAAGGAAGAAAAAACCAACAGACAATAGTTTACAAAAGCACACACAAAAAAAGTTTGGAGCAAAAAGAAGCCTACCAGAAAAACCAAGGGTCAATAACTTAAATGGTCAGGATTTGTATGCAGTTTTCTGCACCACTGGTGGCACCCATTCTGTAGAAAGTATATGACTTTCCTTGATGATATTCGTCATTATTGAAAGAGCTTAGTAAAAAATAGTAAAAAACATAAACAAAAAATATGTCAGCTTGCAAAGAGCAGACATGAGAAACCAAGTTATGCAATTCAAGGGGAGATAATTTCATTCAGTATCATTTCTCTCTTTGTTTTCATCATATTTTCCATTAAATCCAACTTATTGCTTTTAATTAAAGTGTAAAGATTTTTAAGGAAACATTAATCTAAAACTAGTCGTTAAAAAAAAAATAAAATATCAGAATCTGAGTTTATTATTACAGTGTTTTAGAAATATTGTTTTTATGTGCAACTACATTTCTGTTTCATGCCCACATACCAAAATTTCTTTTGTTTTTCATGCCAATTTTATCAATAATTATTGAATATTTGACAATAAATAAAAGTGCATATTAGCTCTTCACAATCTCTATACAATTATTTTATTTTAGACAATATAATAGTTATGATAAATTACAATAATGATACTAATTTTATAAATCTGTAGCCATTGTTTACAAGTAACAGGAGTGCTGGGAAAACTGCCCTATTGTTGTACTATGGTATTACAAGGAAATATTCGGTTCCCATTTAAATTCTATTTTAGATAATTTTCTGTCAGATATATTGATGTTCAAGCAGTTACATAAACAATTTTTATTTTAAAACTTGTGAGTGGGATATAATTATCTTCAAAAACAAAACAAAAAATGTGAAGGAATAAGAGTACTCTTTAAGAAATAGAACAGATATTTATTATTTATTTCATATTGCACTTTTGCAAGAAAAAGATAAATATATTTTGCACATTTTCCCATGCTAAGTATAAAAACATGTGAAACTTACACATGCAGATCTGGATTTGCTTATCCTTCAAAGGCACCTGAGATCACCCCCTGTTTTTAATGGGGTTCGTGTTGCTCATTCTTTAGTTTTCTATGTTGTATTTTATATACTGTTGTTTGTCTTTTGGTCGTTTTTGTTTTTGTTTTTTCCCATGGCAATGTCAGTTAATTTTCGTTTTGTGAGTTTGAATATCCCTTTGGTATCTTTTGCCTCTCTTTTACATATGTTTGTTCCAGGGTGGAGTGGCTTTATAAAGTTTAGTGCCAATATTGATTTAGTTAGTATATTGCTTCAAATATTCATACCCTGCTCTGATAAAAATCTGTGCTAGTCATGTCCAAGAGTATAACAATACCATCAATCAAGCATCTGGTTCTGTGAACAAATAACTATTATTCGCCTCATGTAAACCATTCTTATATAAAATAAGGAGACATGGTATGATTGCCAATGTAAGACAACTGTCCACCAGAGTCCAAGTGGTGTGGATGTAAATGTCTTTAGGACACTAACTGTACAACCTTCAATAATGAGCAAATCCAAGGGTGTTGTACTTAATATTCCAATTCCCTTTTTTCCAAATCCAAGAGTGTTATATTTTATATGTTTTAATTGCCCTTTTCCCCAGATTTTCTGCCCTGTATTTTTATCAATATGAAGTAAATATAGATTGATTAGCAATATAAGAATAAGGAGATGTGGTATGATTGCCAATGAGACAACTATCTACCAAAGTTAAAATGAAGTGGATCGGTGTAAACCTATTTTATGTTTTATTTTGCATGATTTATGTTAGAAATACTAGGAGATGTGGGTATATTTCAATGAAAGGGCAACATAACAACTAATTAAAAACTTTTTTGTTTATTTTTCAGGATATAGATTTGAGGTTGAAATGGCCTAACGATATCTACTACAGTGATAAAATGAAATTAGGAGGAGTTATTGTTAAATCTACAACTATGAATGGAAATCTACACGCCCTTATTGGTAAGATCATTGAAAAAATTATTTAAAGGGGCATTGGATGTCAAATTCATGTTCACTGATTTGACTCAAATTCTCATATTTAATCATTTCATACTAAAACAACTTTCCAAATTACAAAAAGTCTAAAATAAACAATTAACAATGCATGGACTCGATAATATATATCAGCCTTTTGTGTGTATTTTTGTCTAGATGCCATCCAATTAACCATGCTGACGGTCATATAAACTCGATATAAACATGAATATAAATATAAATAGATAGCGACAACATGCAATTGGATTTTTCTAGGTCTGTTTGATTTCATGTTGAAGGTTAAAGATTTATGTTAATCATTGTTTTTACCTGTATAAGAATGATTTTTTGTGGATAGAATCAGTCAACCAAATGGTTCACCCTTGTTTCACTTTCAATGTTGACATTCTTTTCCTATCAATAGCTGAACGCCTAGTACATGTGTAACCCATTTCCAGATAAGAGGTTAAATTGAAGTCCACATAAATATGGATTCACATGAGGTCGATTTATTCACTTGCAAGTCAATAATACATCAGAGATGTTTTTGAGCTGATTTTGACAAATTATTGGCCAAACTAACTGCATATAACTAAACTATTATTTCAAAATTCCACTTGAATTGAAACAAAAAGAATCTTATTTTAAATTTTTGTCTAAATCGTAGCTAATGCCCCTTTAATGAACATATATATTGATCAAATAAAATAAAATTCATTCAGTCTTTTCTTGGGGCTCTTCCTATCACAGTCATATATCAGATATTGATGGAACAGAAGTATGTATTAGAATCATCTAACGTGGTGAAAGATAAAGCTACAGTCAGAGGTCAAATTTTTTCACCATTTGAAAATTCTGCTATATATTTCATATAAAATACATTTTTAATAAAAATTCTCATTAAGTTATTTCTTGACAGAACTGAATGAAATTTTTACCTTTAAATACAGAAATATCTACAGTTTCTTGTAGTGATTATGAAAGATATTTTTAGGTCATCACTTTTTAAAGACAAATATGAATTTCTGCATGACAAAAAAATAGCTATATAGGACAAAATGAAAATTAATTTGAATATTTGTGTATGAATATTTGTATGTGCATGATGATTTCTCAGTAATGACATGTCATAAAAATAATTCATAACCATAAAAAACTGTACACATTTATGAGTTAAACAGTAAAAATTTAATCAAGGTCGGACCTGCAATAAGTTTTTGACAATGAGATATGTAGGGGAATATCCGTGTTGTGAAACCCTTTTGACCTAAGAATGTGAATGTTCTTGTCACATCATTAGTTTTTTGTTGTTTTTCACTTAAAAGTAGATATTTCTGTCATTTGCAGATTATATCTTTTCCACTGAAAAAATAATTATATGAACAACTTGACAAAAGGATACATTTTAGTCCCATCTTATTTTGTATTTATAGAAACACTTTTTTTCACCAAAACGTTATTTAATTTTGTTTTTGGTGACAATAAATTGTCCAAATTGTGGATGAATGTCTATGCTTAATAAATCTAACCAACAGTAAAAATGTGATCTTTGAAATATGGAAATAGACGACTGAAGGGTCATTTAAATACAGTAGAGAACTCTGTGGTGAGAGAAATATATAAATAGAGGACTTAGTGGTGAAAGAAATATATAAATAGAGAACTGAGTGGTGAGAGAAATATATAAATAGAGAACTGAGTGGTGAGAGAAATATATAAATAGAGGCCTTAGTGGTTAGTAAAATATATAAATAGAGGACTATGTGGTCAGTGAAATATATAAAAAGAGGACTGAGTGGTCAGATAAATATAGTAGATGAGTGATGACTGATCAGTTCAGATCACTGCATTTTACCACCACTGTGGTATAGCTGTTTGACTCCTGTCATTTGCAAAACTGGCAAATTTCATTCTTTCTACTGGCATGAAAAAAAGAGTGTTAGTTATTCTTGGAAGGTCCTTACTTTATTCGTGGAATTCTGGTTATACCCTACAGTAAAACTGAAAATTGACACACTGAAAGTAAGCCTAAAGAATTTGATGTATCTATACAACTAAAATTACGACGTCCAATTTGGAAGCCGGCATAACGTAAAAACGATGAATCAAAGAATTCAACTTTATATATAACTGATATAGGACAATGGTGTTGATTTTAAAATTACACCATTCCAGGCCCTATTGTTTTCCACATAATTAATATTACCAATAATTAACAAGTTCCGGGTCGATGGGTTCAAACAGATCAATTTTGAAAGCAGAGGATACTGTGCACCTTATAATCAGCATGATGTAATCAGATGACAATACGAATACTAAAAATCCGGGCTGAAAATAAGGTATAGGTTCTTTAAATTAGTCAGGGACCTGCGATGTCGCGGGTGTGTTCTAGTAGATGCTAAATATTCAGCAGACAATAATTCAACCATAATCAGGATGAGACCATGTTGACATGAAAATCAACCATGCTTTGTACTAGATGGTCCATTGATTGGTTGCTTCTAATTTCCAACAGTAATACTACCAGTACATGCATTTCAGGACAATAACACACTACCAGTAACTCAGATTTTTAACATGCTGGACTCTCAAAGTAATTGTACCCTGGAAGACATATTATTCTGACTCCCACTCGACCAGTCTTTGCCCCCATTCAAATTTGCCACTGCTTGACAGAGAAGCAGCAAATATAGCAATTTTAGAGTCTTTTGTTTGATGTTGCTGGGGATCAAACTCACAACCTCCTTCCTTTAAGATGAGCAATCTTCCACAACACCCCATGAGGTTGTTGTGTACTAGATTGACAAGCTGAGTCTAACTTGTTAATTCAAAAGAATTCAGTTTGAATTGATACATTATCCCAACACCTTATTTTGACCCTGAGTTGACCGTTATATACTCTATTTCTTTAATGTTGATTTCTTAAAAGAAAAGCAGCATATTTTAGTCTTTTTGATGACCTTTAGGGATTTAGTCTTGTTTGAGGCAAGCATGCTACTTTCAGACCACTGAGTTGTATGAAAGTACAGTAAATTCAGAAATTATTGCATGCATTTATTATTGCGATTTTTGAAGAATTAACAAAAATGCAAGTTTAATTATTGCGATTTTGGGAAAAGCTACATACACTCATACAGATGTATGTATCAGATATCAAAATGCGAGTTCTTACTATTGCGATACTCAAGGAGTTTATAAAAAACCTCACAATAATCATGATAATTTTTTAATTTACAGTAGATTAAACAAATTTCAATTACTGTAAATTCAGAAATTATTGTGTGCATTTATTATTGCCATTTTTGAAAAATGGACAAAAATGAAAGATTAATTATTGCAATTTCAGGAAAATCTGCATACAGATATATGTATCAGATATCTGAATGCAAGTTCTTTTTATAGCGATATTCACACAGTTGCATTATTCGCACTAATAAAAACCTCGCAATAATTTTTTAATTTACAGTAATCTTTTTTTATAATTTTCAGGTTGTGGATATAATGTTAGCAACAAAAATCCAACAATCTGTGTCAATGATGTGATAAATAGTTACAACAATGACAAGAAAACAAAATTACCAGAAATATCAGTAGAACAGTCTATAGCCAGGACAGTCACTGTCATGGAGGAACTCATTGACCAGTTCCAACACGAAGGTTATGACAGTTTCTGTAAATCTTATTACAAAAGATGGTTACATAGGTAAGATAAACTTTTATTTAATATGGTACTCAGCTGTAAAATTCTGTTGATAGGAAATATTACCCATAAATCTGTCCAAAAGTTGTTCTTGGGAGAAGTAAAGGAACTGAAGAAATTCGAAAAGATTCAGGCAATCTAAATCTGTTATATGTATGTTAAGTTCTGCACCAAAATGAAAGAAAAAAAAATAGGTAGCAAAAGTTTTCATATTGAAATGTTTAGTACTAACAACTTCACTAAAGTAGAGGCATAATGAAATAATCTCTACCTAAAAAGTGTAAAATAATTTTTGATTACTTACAACAATGATGGTTATCAACTGATAAAAAAAGGACATGTCACATTCTATGTGAGCTTAAAATTTTTGAAGCTTATTTGTGAGGGATTGAAATCTCTAGATTGTCATTGTTAAAGCAATTAAGGGACATAACTTCTGAACAGCATAAGTTGAAATTGTAAAAACCACACTTGACCTCCATTTTGTTAAAAAAACAACATAATTATTGGGCCTGTTATAGCTTACTTTATTAAATGATATGATTAAATCTTCCCTAATAGAGTTAAATTGGCATTTGTAATACTGATGAGCTTGCTTGCTGATATTCATACAGCTTTTCTGCCTATGGGTAATACAGAATAAAGCTGTATTGGCACATGGATTAATACAGGACTGTCACTCTGGGTAGCAATGTTTTATTGTTCACCAAACATTTTTTGATGCATATGAAACATTTTTTTTCTTGCCTGCAACATGTGACATATAGGTTTGCTAATTCTGTAGCGATGACAGCGCATAAAGCTATTTTTTTTATATCAAACTTTTTATTTTAGAAAGTAGAAGACCTGGATGCTTTATACCTTTTATAATGATTTTTTTATGTTACAAAGTTTTCGGCAATCATATGTCCTTTTTCCTTAACTTCATTTTTATGGTTCAGTGACTGCTTATTGAACTTTCAAATTTGAAAATAAATGCGTTGATTGGTTTTCAGGTTCTCAAGTTGTGACACTTTACTTCTTATCTCACTAAGTATTGAAGTAAACTGATCGCTTAGAATTTACACTTCTGATAATGAGCTCAATCCATTAGCAAATTTTGACATTTTGCTAGAGAAATTCAATAGGGAAAGTAGAGATTATACTACCCACAGTTTTCCATATATGTAACTGCTAACTGATCATGATGAGAACGCCAACCATTTTATGTATTTTCGGGGGGTTTGATATAGGTGTGAATTTCAAAGATCACTTATCTCATTTTAGTAACCAACATGAAACATTGCTGTTATAAGTCAAAGTAATTTTTTGTCATTTGATCTGTGTGTTTACGTAAATGGTGTAGAAAATTAACCTCAGCTATTCTTGTTTTGCACCCAATATTCTTGAAAGGTCATCACATAGGTCCTAAATTGTAGAATCTATGATGTATATTGACACACTAATCTGTCTTTGACAGTTTTCAAGCCATAAGTTTGTTTATTTCATGCAAAAATTTTTGTTTTGAGGATAATTTAAACTATAAGGGATTGGTATTCCAATGGGAACTAACTATGCCCCTTTTATTGCAGATTTATTCCTTTCATTTTTAGAATCACAATTATGGCTTAACTTCATATATTTAGCAAATCCCACATGATAAATATTGTTAACCATACCTGCAGTTATTTTGATGAAATATTCTCTTAAATATCCAGATTTTTCTGAATTTACAAATGATTTTCATACCACACCATGCACTTTTACCAAATTTAATAACTGATTGATAATACAATTCATTATGTGTGGAGGCTGATCTATATATTTTACTATGATTTTATAGACTGAAATCGACATAAAGAACTCAATTTTCCTTTTGTTGTAAAAACTACAATATCTGTCATAAATCATCAGTTATTTTATTACTCAATTAAAATCTTTGCCCAGTTTTATTCCCTTGTGTAATAAATGCTTTGCGGGGTACATGGAATTACCGGGCATCCGTCCGTCCTTCCGTCTTGTTAGCGCTCTCACGTGTACAGTTCTTGCCAGATTTTTATGAAACTTATATCATAGGTTTATATCAGCAATGTCTTGGACAAGCTCGAAAATCAGTGCCGATCAATTATTTTTAAAAGAGTTATGCCCCTTGGATACATTAATTTTATGGAAAATTGCATCCTTAGCGCTCTCATGTGTACAATTCTTGCCAGATTTTTATGAAACTTATATCATAGGTTTATATTAGCAATGTCTTGGAAGAGTTCGAAAAATCAGTGCTGATCAATTATTTTTAAAAGAGTTATGCCCCTTGGAAACATTAATTGTATTGAAAATTGCATTGTTAGCGCTCTCATTTGTACAGTTCTTGCCAGATTTTTATGAAACTTATATCATAGGTTTATATTAGCAATGTCTTGGATGAGTTTGAAAATCAGTGCCGATCAATTATTTTTAAAAGAGTTATGCCCTTGGAAAAACAAATTATACGGAGAATTGCATTGTTAGCGCTCTCACGTGTACAGTTCTTGCCAGATTTTTATGAAACTTATATCATAGGTTTATATCAGCAATGTCTTGGACAAGCTCGAAAATCAGTGCCGATCAATTATTTTTAAAAGAGTTATGCCCCTTGGATACATTAATTTTATGGAAAATTGCATCCTTAGCGCTCTCATGTGTACAATTCTTGCCAGATTTTTATGAAACTTATATCATAGGTTTATATTAGCAATGTCTTGGAAGAGTTCGAAAAATCAGTGCTGATCAATTATTTTTAAAAGAGTTATGCCCCTTGGAAACATTAATTGTATTGAAAATTGCATTGTTAGTGCTCTCATTTGTACAGTTCTTGCCAGATTTTTATGAAACTTATATCATAGGTTTATATTAGCAATGTCTTGGAAGGGTATGAAAATCAGTGCCAATCAATAATTTTTAAAAGAGTTATGCCCCTTGGAAATATTAATTATATGGAAAATTGCCTTATGAGCGCTCTAATGTGTACAATTCTTGCCAGTTTTTTATGAAATCCATATAAAATGTTTATATCATCAATGTTCCTGAAGAGTTCAAAAATCAGTGCTGATCAGTTATTTTTAAAAGAGTTATGCCCTTTGAAAATATTGATTATATGGAAAATTGCAATGTCATCGCTCTCATGTGATCAATTCTTGCCAGAATTTTATGAAACTTATATCATAGGTTTATATCAGCAATGTCTGTGACACTTTCAAAAATATGTTCTGATCAAATATTTTTAACTAATTATGCCCCTTGGAAATATAAATTATAATGGAAATCACATTGCATTTGCTCTGAAGCCTTCATTTCTCTTAAGATATTAATAAAAAGTTTTAAAGAAAAAAAAAGTGCTTTTTTTAGTTATTGCCCTTGTACCTTGGATAGATAAAATATGTGCACTGTGGGGGACATTGGAACTCTGTTCTTTTATTTTTTTTAAATAGCTTAATTTTTGGTATAATTTAAATAAAACTACCATTTAATCAATTCCTTAGTCTAAACGTACTTAATGCACACTAGTATCTCTTATGTATTATTAATCTGTCTGTTACCCAGTAATAAAAGTTTATGGTGGTGAATTTCAGATTGTGCAAACCACAGAATCTTATTCAGCGTTTTATGAAAGCCTTTCTTGTTTACGGATTTAGAAATATTAGATATCGTTAACTTATTGATAATGTGAAAGACAGTGAATAATACCAAGTTTCACAGTGTTACATAAAAAGTCATAAACTGAGATCAACCTTGAAAAGTAATCAGACTAAATATTTGATAGTCGAAAATTGAAGCAAGATATTCAAGATCATTGGCATGTTCTTTTTTTTTAAGAGAAAATAAAGGGGTCATCAAATCATGTTTTTTTTTGACAGATTTGAAAATCATTTAATGGAGAAACTTTTGAATCAATATCAGAGGTTTCCATCTTTGTTTTCTAAGTTACTTGTACTTTGCATTGATTAAGAGGTGCTGCAGACCTGAAACTTTTCCATGCTTTAATAATTGCAACTGTTAGACAGTGGGCAAAAGTGTAAAATTGAATAATTATTACGATTTTGGGAGATGTTGCTTACAAATAATACTTTCAAAATGCTTTGAGTTTTGTTTTTGGCAAAACCTTTACCATGGTGAACTTTGCAAAAATGCAGAACACAGCCAACATTTCTGAATTTACCCTAAATGAATTGTCTAACAAGGTGTGATATAAATATTTATTATATACTTAGTAGTAAATACAGATAAATTGTATATGTAATACAATCATTGTCAAGCGTGCTGTATCAGCTACCCATGATGATATCGATATCAGCACGGTTGCAAAGGCTTTATCACACCTTTAATCTGTATGACGTCACGTCATCGATTGCAGTCACTGTTGCAAAAGCTTTATCAAACCCCTAATCTGTATGACGTCATGTCAAACCTGTAATCTGTATGACGTCATTTCAAACCTCTTTATCTGTATGACGTCATGTCACATAAAAAAACATCTACGTGAGGTATATGTATATAATAAAGTGTATATGATATGGCTTATTCAATATCACACACCGTATCAACCCTCCACCGATGTAATCCCTCGAGTGAGCTCTTGGGATTATATTGGTGTCTCGGGTTGATACGGATGTGATATTGAAAAAGCAATATGATATTCTCTATAAATCTACTTTTGTTTGTTATTTCAGCAACACTAAGGTGCGATTACAGATGGAAAAAGGGAAGGAGGTGACAATAGTTGGTCTAGATGAATTTGGATATCTAAAGACAATTGATGAAAATAAAAAGACAATCATAGTACATGATGATGGAAACAGCTTTGATATGATGCACAACCTCATTAAGATGAAATAGATATGTTGTAAACTTTGAATTCTATTTGTGTGGTTGCTGGATATCATTATGTTGAAAATAAAAATAGATAAAGACAAATTGATTACTGAGAACTAGAGAGACATTTTTGTATAATGAATTTTAAGTATGCATAATAGTAAATACCCGGTAAGCATAATATGTACTGTTATGCAGAAAATGACAATGAAAGATATGACTATGGTAAACTGTAAATTCAGGAATTATTGTGTACATTTATTTTTGGGATTTTTGAAGAATGAACAAAAATGGGAGTTTAATTATTCAATTATTGCGAATTTAAGAAAAGCTACATACAGATATATGTATTTGATATCAGAATGCGAGTTCTTATTATTGCGACACTCAAGTAGTTACATTATTTACATTAATTAAAACTTCGCAATAATTTCTGAATTTACAGTATTTAATATGTAAAAATTATATGACATCCTAACTTTTACAGATATGATAAATACTGTTAGTATGGAAAATTCACATAAGATAAGAGTTTACTTAGTAGCATTTTTTTTATTTGTAGTTATTTAATGGCTGTTGTTTGTGTATTTTGTTGATTTTTCCATTATAATTTGCTACTTTTGTACTAATAAACTGTGTTTTTTTTTTGATATTGCAGTAAGTGTGTTCAATAAAAACCTTTGATAATTACCTCTTATAGGGTATTTGCATTTTACAAACATGTGGTAGTGTACCAAAGTACTCAAGTAGTTTAATTTTTCACCTTTTGAAGTGTGTAAGATTTTAGATATTTTTTATAATTCATGATCATATAAACATTCCATTTTACAACATGAAATCTATAGTCAAGTCAGTTGGATACTATTCAACAATTGTGATCTTTGACAAGCAAGATCATGATATGCTCAGGAGAAAAATATGTAAGTGTGAATGAAATATCAATGCAGATTACAGATCAAACTCAGACTACTTCAATTCACATAGAATCCAAAATGTAACTGAAGTTTTGAAGAAATAAAAAATATAAATTATTATGGATATGTGATTTTTTTTCTGTTGATGTAAACATTATAACATAAAAAATAATTTTCTAAATATGACATAATCAAATAAAATTTTCCATGTTTTTATTTGTGACCAGTATGCGATTTGAAATTTGACTTGCACATGCAAGACTCTTTATTTGTATAGATATATACTTCAAAACTGTGAAACATTTTATTATGCTTTTCAGTTGAATTTCAGCATTCTTAGGATTAGAAAAACATATGTTAAATGTATTGTTGTCTATGCAAAACTTGCCAATTCCAAAGAAAAATAAGGACAATTAACAATATTCATTCAAAAGCAAAAAGCTGATTTGACAGTAAATAATTTTGTAAAAAGCAGAAACTTGGTTTGACATGAATAATAATTGTTTTAAGCCAACAATAAATTTTATTAAAGCAGAAAACCTGTTTGACATTGAATAATGTTTGATCAAGGCAGAAACTTTGATTAAGAATGAAAATTATATATATAAAGCAGACATAAGCTATTCACAGATTTGTAATATATATTTAAAGAAGAATATAGGTTTATCAATGAATAATATTCTGAACAAAGCAAAAACTAGTATTGTCAACAAATAAAATTTGTACCAAGCAGAGATTTGATAAACAATAATTATTACTTATGCAAATTATAAATATTGTTTATGATAATCAACAAATAGTTCATGACTGTGAAGCCCTAATGCTGTTTATGTTTGGGAGTCACCTTAAAAAATAAACAGACGAAAGCCATGTATAATATAATACCATTATGGTCAAACAACTGTCTCAACCTACTGTCTCAGCCCATATACAGTATATGGATTTGTTCATGTTCAAGTGATTGGTAGGTGGTAAATTAGCACAAAGGAAAATATACAAATTAAAACAGGGATTTGACAATAAATAAATTTTGGGTTAGCATTCATTCATTTACATATTGAGTAAGATTTTAATTGAAATTTGAAATAGCTAGATGTAACATTCTGACATAATTCCAAAAATTATAATAGTATAATTGTACAATACACAAAATAGTGCTAAATAATGCTGTCAGTGATGGTTTTCTCCTGCTTTGAAAATTTATATTACATATAATTAATTTAATATTATTATTATATATAATTCAAATTATATAAATTGTGTAATGTTTTTCCAATTTGTGTTGATTAATTAAAGTGCCATACATATTTGTTTTTGTTGACTCTTCTTTTTTACTTCATTTTTCAAATGCTCAAATTCTGACTAAGTAGAAGTATCATTATAATTTTGACAAGTTGAGGTTTTATTTTTTCTGGATTTCAAAAACTAATATTGGTTTTTATACAGTGTATGAGAAATCCTTTGTTATGTCTGAAGTATCAATATACATGCTAAATGTTTTTAATACAATTAATGATGTGAACAAATATTACTTTTACCTATGCTTATATATACACTGTAGGTAAATTTTATTCCTAATTGTAACAATCATGACAGTTGTAATTCAAATAGATGGTTGTGAATTGTGAGAAATCTAAGCAAAACAAATGAGTTTTATCCAGGTATGGATTTTTTGTTCTTTTTGTATTACATGGAAGCCAAGTTATTAAAGATGTTATGCACAATATTTCATTATTTTTTCTGTTAGCCAGTTACATGTTTCCTGAGTAGGATTTTGAAAAAATGCATTGTATATTATTAATATTGCTGCCAGCAAAAAATGAAAAATTTGGTACCTAAATAATTTCCAAATTTAAATATTTTGAAAATCGTAATCCTCGTGTACTTTAATCATGATATAATCTATATTTTGCAATGTGGATATGGTAAATTAGATAAGATTGAAGCAATACTATTGAGGGAATAAACTGCAGGTCCTATCTATCTTTGAAAAAGATATGAAAGTATCCAATATTAGTAATGGAAATGTGTTTAATAATCCAATAAGTTAAATTGTCTGTGAATAACTTTTTAATTCAAAGTACTATTTTCTTAGTATTTTAAAAAGAGTTATAAAAACTCAGATGACTGATTCCTTATCCAATAAACAACACTATTTTGTAAAAATCTTGATCCAATAGGAAAGATGAGGAAAAGTAAGATAAGAAAATGCACTATAATGCTAGTATATACTACTAATGAATAAAACATATTTGGTATACATCAGTGAGACTTCAACAGTAGTTCTTTCTGATAGAGTTACTCCTACAGCAAAGTTAACATGAACTTATGAATGATAAAAAAGAGAGGCGAAAGATACCAAAGGGATAATCAAACTCATAAGTCAAACATGAACTGACAACGCCATGGCAAAAAAAACGAAAAACGACCAAAATACAAACACCAGTATACAAAACACAAAACAGAAAACTGAAGACTGAGCTACACAATGGTCTATGGTGAGGACTACATGGAAAGGAAAGTTCTTCAGAACAATTAAAATAACCGGATGAAAGCAGTGATCTATGTTTATGAAGACCATCTTAGTAGGGATCTATTTCAGATTAAGGTTTTGTTGATATGTTAAATATATGCATGAATTACATTTTGCACTGCAGAACAGGTATTGGGTTCTAAGAAGAAAAGATAACTTAATATTATGCATTAATATGCTAGAATATACTTATATATTGTAAGCAAAGAGACAAGTAGTACATATATATATAATGGTATAACAGAGTTTATTCTAAAGAAAGGAGATATAGTTAAGTTACAAAGTATTAAAAAAGGTTATGATATTCAAGAAAGCAGAACACTGATATGTAGTAATAATGATATGATATTGTATTGAAATAGACATTGTGTATTTGTCTATGATGATTTTGTTAACTGCAACTATACTGCAAGTGTTTTCATTTTATTGTGGTTCATAAAATTCTTGTCCAATAACAGTTTGTATCATTAACCCAGGAGTGCCAGGGGTGTACCACCGACCATAAAATAATATCAATCACAGTGAATCGGTATTATATCCCATTAGATAAGATTGCTGTATCATTAACCCATGAGTGCCAGGGGTGTACCACCAACCATAAAAGAAAATCAATCACAGTGAATTGGTATTATATCCAATTAGATTTAGATTGCCCATTTAGATAAGATTGCATCTTTTAATTTGTGATAAAACTTTTATTTGTGAGTTTTACCCTTCCGGAGCACCTAAGATCACCCCCAGTTTTTGGTGGGGTTCGTGTTGCTCAATCTTTAGTTTTCTATGTTGTGTTTTGTGAACTATTGTTTGTCTGTTGGTCTTTTTCTTTTTTAGCCATGACGTTGTCAGTTTATTTTTCGACTTATGGGTTGGAATGTCCTTTGGTATCTTTCGCCTCTCTCTTATGAGTAAGTATCACTGCATAGAAAATTTTATTTAACAGTAACGAAGCAAACAAAAAATATCCCCAAAAGACTTACTCATGCTGTAGAAAAGGCAACAGAATTAAAAGAATTCCATTTGATACAAGTCTTAATCTAGTGCTCTTCAGAAACATAAAGCATGCTTTAAAAAATAAAAAAAAACCCATAGCTAATTGATGTAGTAGAAGGGACTTTAACCTATCTTAAGGTATGAGTATGACTAAGGGGAGAATTTCCTAAACAATGTAGAGTGTAGCTGTTGACATTGTCTGAATGTTGTATAGATTTATTAGTAGATACTTATAATATCATATACTCCTCACACCATTATGGTAGGATTGATGTACATATGATGATTGTTGTCAATATGTACATTAGTGATACTGATGGAAAATTGTTAAAAAAACATACATTTTGTATCTGAAAATGTTTATGAAGTTAGTATTGTATTTACCTGCTATTGGCAGTGCTTTTGGACAATTTAACAAATTGCATAAGAATTTTGTATTTTTGTTTATTCTATTTTTGTACAACCCATTCTAATTGGTATGTAATTCAAATACCACTAAGAAAACAGTTGTCTTATCTGTTTTGATATCGAATTATTAATAACACCTTTTTGATTGGAGCATCACTGACGAGTCTTATGTAGACGAAATAGGCGTGTTTTGTACACAATTTTAATCCTGGTTTCTATTCTGAGTTTATCAAATGGCATATCCAGATATTTTTGGCTTATTAAACACTCCTGAATAAAATGAGATCTAGCATGAATGTCAATTAGAAGTAAAAACATATAAGAAAAATGTCAATGAAACAACAATTAATGGCATGAGCCTATATATAGCCTAATGGATTCTAAAATGTAAATTATAAGTTTATTTTTACCTTTTTATTTGTTTTTAAACATTTAATGTATTATATAATTAATCCATCTTCCTCATGTACTTTGATTATCCATGACAAAAAATATAGAATTGCTTATTGATTGATGTTGGTAGCTAGAATATGTGACCTTTAGAGCACCTATGTTTTATATCCTTATTTGCCAAATATTTTCATGGTGACTGTCTCTGAGAAAAAGAAAAAAAAAATTGTAGGTGAAAAAAACCTTTATTAATGTTTATTTATGACTTAATAATTATGACATTTTGACTGAGTGTAAAAGAGTATAGCCAGTAACCACAATAAACAGCCCTATAAGTGTGGTTTTTGAAATTCAATTGTTTGAGTAGACTTTATGTGTATGTATTGCTAAATATATTATTTTTGATTGATTGATAGATTGTTGGTTGCTTAACATCCAGTGGCAACATTATTTTTGAAAAGTTAATAAAAATAATTGTATATCAGCTTCATATTTGTAAATGTATTTGCCTGAAATAGGTATAGATTTCATTGAAGATCCATTTCTTTAGGCATGCGTCAACTTTTTCTACCTTTTTTCATGATTTTATATGTGGCACCACCCCTCCCCAACTGAAATTTTGGGTGAAAAGTAAAGAATAGGGTACATATAGAATATTTCAGAATACATTTTTTTATGTCGAGGGTGGCACAACTTTTAATTTTCTAGAAAACTGTCTTAAATTTTTTGCAAAATTATGCAAAAAATCAGGTTTAAACAAAATTCACTTACATTTATGACGACACAAATACATCTGTAATGACACAATTGGTGCAATTTTTTTTAAACGAATATTTTTGGGATTTACTTGAAGTTTTCATAAAATTTCCATATCATTATCGCAGTTAAAAAATTTCAGACAAAAGAGTTACTCATCCTGTCGATGCACCAAGTCTCCCTCCTATTGTAGTTCTTATGATTCCCTAATTTTTTCTATCCTTGATTTGTATCTTCTTAAAGGATTTATGAGATTTATTTTGAACACAGATAAAGTACTGTTGCCTGTAATTTGATAAAACTTTTTACATGAAAATTCTGTATTATTTTCATAATAAAATAAAAAAACATGAAAATGAAAATAACATTTTATTGCAAAAATAAATAGGAGGAACAAAAACAAACAAAAAATAAAGTATTAAATGAAGGAATCAAACTAATTGTGTAGAATGATTTATTTCCTTATTGGCCTATTAAGATTTGATTTTTCCTTTTCAATTAGTGTAACTCATTAATGTACGGAAATTTATTAGCAGAATTTCTGGTTTCTTCAAACTGATCACAAGTCATGTAGGAGTTTATATCTGTGTTAATGAAAATATTGCTATATGAGTGCTGTTTAAAAATTGGTTAGGATATTTATAATTTATTGTCTGTGTATGAACTATCATTAAACTGTTTTAGCCCCAGAGTGATAAACTAATGTTGTTTTTTTTATTATAATACGGATATTGCCTTTAAGCTATTTTTTCTTATACTACAAGTTCTACATATTAAAATTAAATGTAAATGGAAGAGTCCTTGTCTTTTGCCATAGAGATTGTATTTTACACTAAATATATTCATGTCTATCAGAAAAAACCTACTCTTGATTAGACACTGACGTTATTGTTCGTTTATGATTAAGTTCGGATTTATAAGAACACTTTGGAGATAGCTGTCTAGCTGCTAAACACTGAATTCAAAAGGGAACAGATTCAATCAACATAGTCACAAACATTTGAATTATTTTATGAGACTATTTCATCTTTATTGCAGTACTTGAAGTTTAAAGATAATGCTATCTTTTTCATTCTTCTTGCCAAAATCTGTATGAAGTATGCCTTATTTTGTGAAAAAAAAACAGTCAGCAAAAAGAATGCAGTTCATAGGAATACCGACTGTTGAAAGACAAGACTACAAAATGTATAAAACATACCAATCATACATTGGTTATTGCACTATTAATTGCATGAGGAAAAGGACGTAACAGGTCTTACGATTTTTTTTAGTTTCTATATCTGATTGATATGCCCCCAAGAGAATGTAGTTTCACAGTTATCGCAACTTCTTTTTTGATTTATGATGATTTAATCATTTCTCTTCAAGAGAATCCTTGAAAACACAACATAAAAAAAACTCCAGTAACACCATGCGTTCCACAGGGCACAGCACTAGGACCGAGACTCTTTCTCATTTACATGAATAAGAATTTTGGCAGACGTTAGCATCATTTACCGGGCTATTACCTGCCAAAAACGATTACAGTAAGCTTCAAGAAGACATCGCCACATAATTTAAAATGAGAGAAAGACAGGCTCATGTAACATTTTCAGAGTCTCAACTAAGAAACACACTTAGATTTCTACTACAATATGTGTGGTCACATT